CAAAAAAGTTGCAAGAAAGTGATGAGAAAGTGCCTGAAACTGGTAAGAAACTAAATCACATGATTAACGTAGTAAGGCGTAGTAAAATTTTGTTTAATTTTGACCAGCACTATTCCATAATTCTAGTTAGAACTTTGGCATAATATTTTGACATCTAAACTAGCTTGAAATTGGTGAACTAATAAAAAACCTTTGGTTTCTTACTAGTTTTATAATAGTTTTAGGAGAATTTCAGATATTGTCAGAATACTACTAAGGTGTTACTTGGATCCCTCAAATTATGTACCCTAAAGATTGACTAGAATTATAACATAGTGTCAGCTGAAATTAAACGCAAATTTACTGCGTCACTTAACACATTTTTTTATCACAATTTAACATTTTAATAGACAATCAAACAGGTGCAAGAGATAAGCATTTCAATATAGAATCCGGCATCCAACTAGACACAGGAGACCATCATCCTCAACATAAAATTAGGTATCTAAAAAGCTATAGACAACTAACAACTCTAATATAAAAATTGGTATGCAAAAGACTTAGAAACAAGAAGAAAGGCATAGTATTTAAATCATATAATAGTAGTTAGATTAAATGTAAGTGGTAGTTAGATTATATGATGATACAAATGATAAATAATAGGAAAAGTTAAAGGGATAGCTAGAATATAAAATAAATATCTAATACACAAAAATAAATAGATTATATAGTGATATCTAAATTATATTATTAGATTATATAGTAGTATTTAGATTATATTATTTAGATTATATAGTAGTTAGATCATAGAGTAGTACTCAGATTATATAATAGTATTTAGATTATATAGTGGTATTTAGATTATATGATGATACTATAATCTAGGACAAGTGAAATACCACTATGTAATATAATTTATATTACATGATGGTATTCTACTATTTGTTTTTAATTTTTACAGTATAAATACTCCTTTTAGAAAATCTAGCTATCATTTCGTTTTTAATATATTTGATAATGATACATAAATTGATTTGAAAATTATTCAGATATGAGTTGTTAAAAGATTTATTTTAGAATATCAAAATAGAGGTGGAATAGTATAATCTGAAATATGCATAAAATACTTAATCTAAATATATTAACAAAAAATTTTAATTAATTTAATAAAAATATTTAACATAAAATTAAAATACCTGTTTAAAACGAACTAAAAATATAAAAATTGTAATTTTATGTTCAGAAATTTTATTATCTTTATTTCAAAATCTCAAATACTAGGCAATTTAAAAACTTTTATTGTTATTTCTTTCTATTTATATTTGTCTCTTACATTCTTTATATATATATATTTATTTGTATTTTTAACAATAATTTTAATCTATTTAAGAAAAAAAAGAGAGTAAAAATTAAATAAGGTAAAGATGAAAGAAAGTTTCTAGGTAAATTTACTATAAATTTATATAAAGATCTAGTATATTAAAAGCATAAAAAAAATGGAAGTAAAAGTTGTGTAATTTGTTCTTTATTATCTCTTTCACTATTACCTTAACTTCAATTTCAACCTTAACTTTAACCTTGATCTTGATCTTTACCTCTATCTCTATTATTACCTCTATCTTTAATATTCTCTTTATTTTATTCAAAATCATTATTATTATTACTATTATCATTTTATTCATCAGTAATATCATAATTTTTCCATAAAAAAATTAATAACAAATAAGTCCTGTTTATCACATTCATTAGTATCTATGATAAAAATAAAAAAAATTTAAGCAAAAAGTGAAAAATAATATGTGAAAAAAAAATTAAAATTCTGAAAATTTGATAGACATTTTATAGGTTAAATACTAGCTTAATTTTAATGATCAGTGAATTTTTAACTATATAGTTAGCTTTTATTATAACAAATTTTATATCTTAAATTTCAACTTTATTATAAGGTTATAGTAAAGATTTTAAGAGTTTGATTGGCTATTTGGCTATAATAAGAGTATTTTTATTATATTTGTTTAAAAAATTTATTATATCAAAAGTTCACTATATCAAGAATTAACTGTATATTTTGATAGTTAAAATATAGTTTAATATTATTGTAAAATTTTATGATAATTTAGCTTTTATAAAAAAAGTTTATATAGCGGATATTTTGTTTTTAAAAAATTACAAACAAATTTGTTTGCAAAACTGTTTAAGGGATAATTTATTTTAAAAATAATTAAAATAATTTTAATTATTAAATAAAATTACTTTTAAATTTATAAAGCAAAATTATTAAAAGATAATATAATATATATTTATAAAATTAATATAAAAAAATTTTCTATAAGTATAACTCTGGCAAAAAAATCTGACAATTATAAATTGGTAAATATTTCATCTTATTTTTATTAAAAAATCCCAAATTTTAAAAATAAAACTTTTTAATATATAATAAAAATATAAAAATTTCAAAAATTTATCATGTAACTTTGATTTTTTACTATTATTTCTAAAAGTTCTAGCATAAATCTTATAAAATTAATACATAAGCTTTTATCAATTGCCTTTTATTTCTTTTTTATTAATCATATAAAAATGTCTTACATAACTAATTTTTTTAATAACCATAATATTAACCTTCTTCTTGACATTTCTTTTTATTATTATCATAGATTCTCAATCAGATTATGATCTAAAGAAGAAATAGCTAATTAAAAATTTAAGAATAATGATTCTAAAGTAAAATAATTATAAGTTTAGCTTAATACTTAAATTATTACTCTATTAGAATGTTTTGAAGAATTCAAAATACTTATTCAAACAAATTTTTAGTTATAATCTTCTAATAAAACTTATTATTCATATTCTCTGTGAATATATAAATCTGACAGTTTCATTTACATAAAATATATTTTACACATAGACTTTAAAGGAATGTTTTACTACAACTTATCTCAGTATTATTTTTTTAACTTTGTAATAAACTAGTATTATATTACAGATCATCAAAAATATTGACTTATCAGAAAATATAACATTATTCTAACATTCTTCTTGATGAACTTTCGCCTAAGTAATATGATAATATATAGCATTCTAAATAAGAAAATAAACTAAATAAGGAATATAAACTTTATATCTAAGATTTTGAAGGTTTTTTCTAACTGTTTGAGATGCAATATTAAGATTAGGATAGTTTTTTTTAGGTTTTTAGTTATTTTATTATTTGACACATATTTGCATGATTTTATAATTTGATTAAGGTAGTAATATTAAAAAGAAGAAGACATTTTAGACATTTCAGACAACTTTTTGCTTAAAGTCATTCATTTATTTGAGTTGTTTAATCTATCTGTATAAAGTTTTTAATGGATATTTGATGGCTTTTTAAAAATCTGCAACTTTATGAATATCACTTTTTCATAAAGTTCTAATATATTATTGTGCTTTTTTTGTGAAACTATTATATGATATTTGTGATCAATAGGCTGCAAATATTTATTAAATATGATATAAATAACTTGTTTATATTATAATTTATATTATTGTTTAGAGAATATCATATAATCGATTCTGAAATCTAAAAAAATTTGTCAGTTTTTTCTGTCAGAAATGTATATTAAAAAAAATTTATAGTAAATAAATAAGTAAAATTACTTGTAAATCTTTATAAATTTAAAGATTTAAATAAATAAGCTTTTCTTAATATACTAATTTAAATAGTAAAAAATGTATAATTTTAGTATATATCAATTTTAAATAATATAAAGATATTAAATAAATATATAAATATATTTATAAATGTAAAAAAATGAATAATATTATTTTTTATTTTATTTATTATAATTATTTTATTTAAATAAAATCCTAATTAATAATTAAATCATAATTCTGATTTATATCTCAATATTTATGCCTAAAGTTTTTTAAAATTCTTATCAATAATTTCAAAATATTCTAATAAAAATTATGAATATATAAAAAAATTTTCATATTAATTAATAATTATTAAGAAAATTACAGGAATAATTTCATTATTTTCTTGCAAATCTGTACTTTAATTTTGCTTAACAATTTTATCATCTACTAAAAAACTTCTTCAATTTATTAGCATTTATATATTTTATATATTAATTGCAGAAGAATCATCAAATGATAGTTTGCTTATTGCATTTTCTAAATCTCTTTGATCATCATCAACAATTTAAAAAAGTCATTAATATATTATTATCTTCAATTAATTCATTTCTGGTAGATTAAAATATTCTAGTTTTTATCCAGCAGTTTTCCATTGTAGTAGATTCAATTTGATTCCATGCTTCGACAACGAAATCAATTGCATTACGAATTGTACTTTACAACTTTATTTTTACTAAAAGTTTGCGATATTTAACCTTAAAGAAATTAATATATCGAAAACTTTAATGTTAATATTTAATATTTAAACTATATTAAATTACATTTTAAATTAAACATTTGAAAATGAGAAAAAAAAAAATTTATTTTATTTATTTGTAAAAGATAAAATCAATATTTTAACCTCCAATTTATACAGAATTCACAATGATTTCTACAATTTATTGAAACATTTGATATATATATATATATATATATATATATATATATTGTGTAACGGATGCAAAGGTAAAGAAAAGAAATAGATAAACAAAGGGAAGGAAAAAAAACAATTTACAGAAAAGAAAAAAAGAAAATATTTGATTTTTAGCAAAACAAAAAAAAAAACCAACCAAAGAAAAAAAAAATAAACGTATTTAATAAAAAAAAAAAAAAAAAAAAGTTCAATTTTGGGATCCAATCTAATAAAGAAAAGGAATCCATTTTTATGTTTAAAGATAAAATAATCTAGATTATGAGAGATGCGTTATGAAATGGATTTTCAGTGTCCTTCATGAAAAGTTTGTAAAGTGTAAAAGAACAGAGGATACAAAAAATATTTATATAAAAGTATTGGATAATTAGGAATGTAAAGAATGAAAAATAAAAAAAAAGGAAATTTAATAATTTATAAATAATTATTATGCCAATTGTGGATCGAAAGAGAAAGAATTTCTTCTTTCTGGAGCGAAAAATAAAGAATCTCTTCTTTCAGGTCCCAAGAAGGAATCCCTTCTTTCTAAATTAAAACGGTCAGCGTGACTAAAAGCAGTACCAGAATCTCTACCTCCTAAACTGAAAGTAGAATCTCTTCTTTCTAAACTAAAAGAATCTCTACGATTATCAGTCAAACTATAAGTACTATCTCGTCTATCCAAACTGAAGGTAGAATCTCTGCGATCAGTGAGACTATAAGCTGAACCTCTTCTTTCTCCGTTGAAACTATTGAGACTAGTATGACTTCCATTATTATTGCTTCTTACTCCCAATGGGTTCTTGGAGAAACTCAACCGAATTCCCCCTTTGACCGAATTACTAAGTGGGTTACCATAGAGTTCATTCATTGCCTGAGTTGCATAATGAACATCCTCAAATTCAACAAAACACATTGGCCCATTTTGTTTCGTACGAAAACACATACGTTTGAAACCAGGACAGCGTGAAAACATTTGTTTGAGTTCATCTTCTGAGGTATTCATTGGCAAATTACCGACATATAAAGTGTTGCATGGTGGATTTTGGTCAGCAGGATTAGGAGGACGAAAACCAGGAGAAGGAATTGACGGGGATGAAGAGACAACTGATGAGGGAATAGTGGTATTAATGGAAAGGGTAGACATTGCATGGGGCAAGTCATCACCAACTAGTAAAGCGGAATTAAATCCATTTGATTGATTCTTTGCGGTCTTGGAACCTATTTCGACAGGATTTGATTTTGATGAAAGGTAACAATTCCAATCATCGCCGCCATTGTCAAAAAAGCCTTTTCCATATCTAACACTGTTATTAATAGGACGTGAAGAAGGTGCGCCGACCAAACCACCAATAGCGCCATTAGTTGCATCGAAAGAGCCACGAGCAGAAGAGAAAGGTGTTTGATCAGGAAAAACGGGCGTAGTAGGTGTTGTGGGAGTATAAACGCTGACGTCTGAATAAAAATCATACCCGTAATCTTGAGGAGATAGTAAATCACTTGGAAGTGGAGGTGCAAAAGGAGGAGGTACAGAATGAAAAGCATCATACGTAGCGGTGGCAGTATTAATATTGTTTGGCGCAGAAAACCGTTTATTGGGAGGAAGTAGAGGAAAAGTAGTATTCTGTTCGTTAGAGAGGCCACGTTTGGTATGCAAGTTTTTCTTTGCCATTTCAGCTTTGAGGACAGAACCCTTTTCGGCATCAACTTTTCTGCCGCTAAGAATGTCACGAGCTTCAAGCGCTTCAAGCCTAGTACGAAATTTGGCAAAGCCAATCTGAAAATAATGATGAATAATTTTTATTAATAAATAAGGAAAATAAGACTCGGAAATGAAATTTTTATGTATTAAAGATGGAAGAAGAATAATAATTGATATATTACATACGATTTGCTTCCGTGCATTATTCCCATTCCCATTAATTGTTCCATTTCCGATAGAGCTACCATTGGCAGATGCATCATCATCCGAAGAATCCTTTTGAGGAATCTTTAAGGTTGCAGCTTCGAAACCTGGTGAGAAAATGAACATATTTTGAAACTCTCGCTCTTGCATATCGTCAGGAAAACCGACAACAAAAATTGTTGATATTTCTTCATTAATCATGATGAATAATAAGTAGTTTTGTTTGTGAAGGACAATGGAAGTTTGAATTATATAATTATTATATATATGTACAATATGCAAAGGAAATTGAAGCAAGTCGAGAATCAAAATTACAGTAATGCAAAAAATAGTAAGTTGATAGCCAATACTTTTGAAGGCAATACAACTTTTCTATTTAAAAATGCCTATAATGATATTTAATAGAATATTGGGGAGGTGTTTCTTTTTGGGGGGGTGCAAATGTGTTTATAATGCTACGAAATATAAAACAATTATAATAGGAAATAATGAAGTGAACTCGAATGAAAGAAAGTAAAATGCAAGAATACGGAATAAATGTGTATAAGTGGACAAAGGAAAACTATAGTTTATTTTTTTTTGGTATGCTTTAGTGTGCAGTATGGATAATTATTTTTTTAGATGCTAAAATTCTATTGTTTGAAATTAAAATTTTTGCTTGAGTAATGTAAAATTTAAGGTTGTTGCTATGTACAATAAGGCATATATGCAAATATGAAAATTATGTTGCAGTTGCAGGGTGAGAGATGAGTTGTAAGGTAGCGAAGGGATCAATACACTTCGCTAGCACTGGCAACTAATTAAAAAAAAAAAAAGAAAAAAGGAAAAAGTGAGAGAGAAAGAGAAAAATTCAAATAAATTAAGTTAATATGACGGCAAGTTGGCTTTAACCCGAGCCTCATTGGCAAACACAAGCTACACTGGATCACCACCACAGGAATAAGACACAAAAATAACCTGATGAAATATAGTAAAGACGCGAATAATTACAAGACCAAACAGAAGTGATGAGCGAACAACAAATGCCAGAACTAAGAGCAAGAGGGTTCGCGGCCTTTTTATTGCAAAAACGGGTATGTACTATGACCAGTTTTACAATATTTGAAAAAGAATAATGCAGTAATTATGGTACAAGCTCAAAAAAGGGGGAGCGATTGGGGTTGGTGGGGAAAAAGTTTAGTGTTTTATATTTTTTTTTTTTTTTTTTTTATATATAAATAAAAAAAGTTATAAATCAAGCAGAAATCAACTTTTTTAAAACAGATGATCTTTTTTTTTGACTGGCCAATTTTGGGAGACTTTTTATAATCACCACTTATTTTTATCACAGGCATATAAATTTATTTATATTTATTTCCAGAGAATTTGGAATAAGAATCATACCTTGAGAAAAAAAAAAAGGGACGAAGAGGCCAAAACTACCGAAAATAATTTGTGTACGTGAGAAACGAAAAATCAGAAAAAAAAGATTTTAGTAAACTTACTGGAAAAAGGATAATCAACATTAGTGATGTACATAACATATACCTTATTAAAACGCCCACCTCTTCAGAGATTTTTTTGAATTTTTTCAAAAAAAAATTACGTTCTCCGTTTGTTCACTCATAAATTACATGAAATTTTTTATATTTTGACAACAAGAGGTTTATGGAATCTAAAAGAAGATTGCAGAAGACAAAACATGAAGTTTGAGTAAAGTAATTTAGTGATAGTTTCAGTTATGATTTGAAATACTGATAAGATGTACCCGATTAAGAGTACTTCTCGAAACTTTTTGAATACCTTATTGGGTATCACAATCTGGTAACATCATGTATAATGATGAATGATTTTTAGACAACAAATGAAACATAAATTATTATAAATATGAGAAAAAAAAATGGGAGTATTGTTTAAGTTTCGTACAATACCTAAATACCTAAAACATCACCTTAAGATAATACAGATAATACATTAACGAATTGTCATTATTCCTCATCACTGGTTTAGTATCGATACACAACTCCTGATCACTAGAGCATTCCGGGCAATTTTCTCGACTTTTTTCCACATTTGTTAGATATATGTAACGCGATTACGCAAACCAAAGTCTAACACAAAATGTGGTACAACGGTTAATCCGCGCCCTAAAGTTAATCTTATCCAAATTTAGCAAATTTAGACACAAGAATCTGATACAACATATTTTATCTTGTTATGTTGTACAATTCATTCTTTCACATCCATTATTATGTCAATATCCTCATCTTTATAAGTTATTGTTGTTTAGAAGAAAAAAGCCACAAACAGAAATGAATGAACATTCCGCATTTAGTTACCAAAAATCGTAAGTACAACAATAGCATTCCTGTTACGATTGAGTTTATCCTGCAATCTGTAGGCATTTTTAACACTCTCAATCATCATTTTTCAAAACAGGTTATTCACCCTTCCGGCTGTGTACGATCGATATTTTAAAAAGGATAGAAAACAGAAGTTCGGTTACAACTATTTTCCATATTTCCATTTGCGAGATATCAAGAATCATCATTGGATAATAAATATATATATTGTCTCCATGTTATTAAATTGTTGGGTTATTTTTAGTTCTTACCTATAAATGCATGAACTTAACCATGAAAAAAATTTATTAGTCTTTTTTGGAATAATTAAAACCCTTTTTTTTTTAATAATCTTAATTCATATGAGTATGTCTGCGGATCAAATTAAAAAAAAAAATAATAAAAACACAATGTAGAATAGTTAGTCAACCATCAAAGCCATTGTTATATTGTTTATATATATATTTTTAAAATCAAAAATTTGTTAAAACCGAATTTTTTTTATTTTCGAAAAAATGAAAAAAAAATTAGGTAATTTTATTTATTATTTACAATAATTTTTAATTATTTTTAAATATTTTAAAAAAAATTAATACTTTTATAATAAATTTATGATGTTTTCTAAGTAAAAATTAAAAAAAAATGAAATTAATACTTTTATAATAAATTTTATGATGTTTTCTAAGTAAAAATTAAAAAAAAAATGTAATTAACTAGTGATTTTTTAAAGATAAATAAATAATAAATTATT